AACTTTCTACCGAAATGATATGGCCTAAAATATTTCGTGGCCCAGACAATCGAAAGTAGTTCTTTCTCGATTGTTGAGTAATTCTGCTCAAAATGATTTAAACTTCGCGATGCGTAAGCTATGGGTAAATCGTTACCAATTGGTCCTTGTAATAAGATAGCGCCAAGTGCTACGTTGCTAGCATCGGTTGTCAAATTAAAGCGGTTTGGAAAAATCTGGGTATTGAAGTAATGGTTCATTGATTAGTACATTTTTGCAAGTTTCGAAACAATGAACAAACTCTTCGGTATGTTCTATCTTTAATCCTTTCTTCAAACATCTAGTAAGTGGTTTTATTATTCTTGCGAAGTCTCTAATGAACTAACGGTAATAACCTAACAAACCGAGAAATCCCTTAATTTGCTTGGTGGTTTTGGGAATTGGATATTTCTTAATTGCTGAGATTTTATCTTGATTTGGTAACGCCTTCTGGGGTAACTATGTGGCCTAAATATACAACTTCTTTTCTAAGAAATTCTGATTTATCTAATTCAATTTTGAAATATGATTGTCTTAATCTGCTAATAATTTAATTATTAGCAGATGTTCTTTACTTTATTAGCAAAGTCACCGATGTTGATAAACTTTAATTTTTCTGCTTTTTCCTGTATATTTTTTTCACGATGATATTATTTGTACAATGGCTTTATTTTTTTATTATCAGAACGTTCGGGGTCTTCGCACCAAACTGCAATCTTTGCATAATAACCTCTTGAATGCGGATTTTGATGTCGTGTGCCTCACTGAAACGTGGCTACATCCCGGTATTTATTCCTCTGAAGGGTTTCTTTCCTCCTTTAATGTTTTTAGATGCGATCGCCCGAACGTCGCCGACAACAGTTTGCGTGGTGGGGGTGTTCTTATTGGAGTTGCAGCGTATCTTCCTGCAATTCTTCAGTCCGCCTGGTTCACTGGTGTTGACGCTGTCAGTGTAACGTTGCGCTCGGGATGCACGACGATTCATATTTGTTGCGTTTATATTCCCCCTCACGATATTACTTCCCTAAATAATTAATTAAACCTAATGATCGTTTTATAATTTGTGGAGACTTTAATTTGCCTGAATTAAACTGGTCACTTGACCTGGATTCCGGTTTCGCCACTGCTTCCGGATCCGTCAGCGCCCGCTCCAGTGAATTTCTGGATGTTCTTTCCCTTTGCGGACTTAACCAACTAAATTATCATAAAAACTCTTATGTAAACACACTTGATCTTGTTATTACGAATTCTGCCGATATACATCAATTATCTCTTTGTAGTGATCCATTGCTTCCTGAGGACAGTGCGCACTCCACTCTAAAGTTTTCCTGCTCAATTTCATTTACTCGTTCGTTATCTATACATCATGGTGATGCTTTTTGTTTTAGAAAAGCCCGGTTTCCTGAATTGAATGAGTACTTTAATGGAATTGACTGGGAATCAGAGCTCGCTGGTCGTGATATCAATGACGCTGTTCAAATTTTTTATAACTATGTTAATACTGCTATTCGCGAATTTGTCCCTTTAAAACGCAAAGCTATCAAGGGTTTTCCCAGTTGGTTTTCATACAGTACCATTAAAGTAATTCGAGAGAAAAGGTGGGCGCACTGTAGATGGAAGCGTTTTAGAAACCGACTTGACTACCTCACTTTTTCAATTCCAAGGAGTCGTGCAAAGTATCTAATCCATCACAATTACATGGAGTATGTTAGAAGAGCTGAAAGTAATATGCAATCTGATCCAAAGGTGTTTTGGGCTTTTACTAAGTCTAAGAAGCGTGCGGATATCATTCCTTCTACGATGTCATGGAATGGAACTGTTGTCGGCGATGGTGTCGGAGTATGCTCATTGTTTGCTGATTTCTTTTCTTCGGTTTTTGTGGATCCTGCTCCAATCCAGCAGAATATAGATTGTATAGAAATGGATACCCTTCCTTTGAGTCAGATGCAGTTTGACAGAATTGAGGTTAAGGAGGCCCTGATGGGCATCAGGGTTGCAGACAGTATAGGTACTGATGGTATTCCATCAATTTTAATCAAGGAATTGTTCACACTCTCTGTCCCTTCCTTTAACTATTTTATTTAATGCTTCATTGATAATGGGTGTCTTTCCTTTATTGTGGAAGCGGGCTTTTGTTCTTCCCATTTTTAAATCTGGGGACCGTGGTGCTATATCCGATTACCGCCCCATATCTATTTTGCCAGCATTTGGGAATGTGTTTGAGAAAGTAGTTCATGCACGTCTATTGTTGCCCTTAAGTCTAAAATCAATTCTAGACAACATGGTTGTTTTGCTGGTCGCTCGGTGGAGAGTAACTTGCTTGAATATACACCGTATATCTTATCTACTCTGGATGATTCTTGTCAGGTTGATTCAGTTTATACGGATTTTAGAAAAGCTTTCGACCGGGTGGATCACAACTTACTTCTGTTCAAACAAAGAAGTTTGGTGTTCAGGGAAATCTTTTGCAATGGCTTGCTTCCTATCTGAAGGAGACATGCCAGATTGTTTCGGTTAATGGTTTTTTCTCTAATCCTGTATCAGTTCCTTCTGGTGTTCCACAGGGTAGCCATCTGGGCCCTTTACTGTTTAATATTTATGTTAACGACATATTTGACGTCGTTAATTATGCCCAATGTTTAATGTATGCTGACGATTTAAAACTCTTTCTCCGTATCTCCTCACCTCTTGATTGTTCTAAACTGCAATCTGACTTAAACAATCTACATGCTTTTTGCTTAAATAATTTTAATGCCTTTCATTAAACTTATCAAAGTGTAATGTTATTTCCTTCTCTAGGAGGGTGAACACAATCCACTACAATTATAGCGTCGCTGGTGAGAGGTTGCAACGTGTCTCATTTATTAGAGATTTGGGTGTTACATTTGATTATAAATTATTATTTGATAAACATATCGATACTGTTGTCTCCAAAGCCTGGCGTATGTTAGGATTTATTATGAGATCAACGGTAGCTTTTTCAAACATTGCTGCAATTAGAAATCTCTATTTTGCCTATGTTTACAGCACACTTAACTTCTGCAGCGTCGTTTGGAATCCTCAGTATCTCTCGTATAAATCTAGAATTGAGCGTATTCAATCTAAATTCCTCAAACACCTTTGTTTTAAATTTTCCATTCAATACATTGATTACGAATCAACTTGCACTTCTTTTCGTATGTTAACCCTCAACCAGCGTCGCTTTTGTGGGGATATATTATATTTTTACAAACTTTTGAACAACAAGTGTGATTCTCCAATGCTTGTTGGTTCTATATGTGTTCACGTTCCTTCGAGATTACTTCGCTTTGATTTTCTATTTATGACACCTACTCCTAGAACCAATGCCTGTCAAAACTCTCCTTTATTGAGAATGGCAAGATCGGCAAATCGTGTTAACATAGATCTGTTTCAGCATTCTTTCTATGCATTTAAAAAACTTCTCTTTGCTGCAGTTGGTGTGTTGCCTCGAGCGTTCATTTGATATTTGATATATGATATATTTATATCACCTAACTTAGTTTTAGTTTTTTTTCCTTTTGAATCACTTTTGTACCATTAATGTTAATTCATTATTATTATTATTGTGAACTGTAATTCTATTTTATTTGTATACAATTGGTTGTTTGTGGTACAGTATTATTGGGTTCGACCTGTTTCTGTACCCACATGAAATAAATAAAATAAAATAAAAAATAATGTCGTCTAATTAGTTCAAACAGTTTAAAGTGCAAATTAAAAATTTTTCATATATCCGACGTTTGGCTATAACGGACACTCCTTTCCTCGTCATTAATCCGTTATATCGAGGTTTTACTGTAATGTCAAATTACATTGGGAAGTTGCATTTTATGTAGGACAAAGTAAATATTTTAAAGTAGGTAAATAATTTGAAGTTTATAGGTACGCTCTGTTTTCTATAGAAATACATTTTTGTATATTACATTTTATTTTAAGTGAAATTTAGGGTATACTTCGTTGATTTTACTACTACTATTCGAAAAGAAATTCAATAAAAAGTAAACTAAAGAATAAGGGTACTAATTTTAAAAAACCTACTTAATTTAATTATTTTTTTCTATTCAATTTTATTTATAAAACATATTTATGTTATACAAGGGTTATTCAACAGGCAGGTACATGGTGTACAGGGGCAAACACCATTTACATACCTTCCAAGAAAACTTCCTAAAAATCAGAGTTAAATATTCTTTTAGCGTTCTGTAACAATTAAGAAATAGACAATAAAATTCTTTAAATTCCTTGAAGTGATTTATTTACCTGAGTTTATGTTTAACGGAAATTCTCTTTAAAGCATAAAAGGAAATTATAGACAATTTTATAAATGTATACAAACAAGAATTACTATAAAGGTAATGTAATATAATAAACAATAAATAATATAACAGTTAATCTTCAAACAAGTTTGGGTTATTGTGTGTTTCTGTAATATTACGGTGTATGTATATGCAAAACTTTTGGCGAGCGCTATACCTACTGCCGTAGACATCACGAATTCGTCTATCTCACTTTGACGATATGGCATCGCACTCCTGCGCAACTGACCGGCCAAGATTGATTTGCCAAACTGTATTTTTTATCAGAGTATTCTCTACAGGCTGATACAGAGCGAAGTTTTTTGTAAACTTTTTCTTAAGGATTATTTGTAAGGATTATTTAAATTTTTGGACAAAATATGAAATGGAGGGTACTTTTATTTTTACCTTCACCGTTTTTACGAAAATTATCTATAATAACTTTTTGTGTTGGAAAAATATTAGAGACAGGTACATCTATTTTTAAGTTTAATGTTTATGATGGCAATTATTAACAATAACTTTGTTCTTGTTTGGAGCGTTTCCTTTTTTTAAAGAATAAATTCTTGGAAAAAAATATCAATATCTTTATTCTTTTGTATTAAAGAAGAAGAAGGGGAAATACCGGTTCATTTTCGGGTACTACATATAAACCATTTTCGGCTCATTAACTTTACTTATGCTTTTAACATGGCTGAGGTAAGTTGGGTATTTGATCTATAACTTTAGATATTAATTTTTACTTTTTTAGAATACTGAATTGACTTTGTTTTATCTTCATTCGCTGAAAGGAGAAGCTTTAGTTAACCGCCTGAGGGAATGGGGTGTCATTCCGAAGGAAGGCGAGTACAAGTGTTCCCTATGCGAGACTCCACTTGTCTTACAACATCGCAGTAATGCTCCTGATGGCTACATTTGGGCGTGCAATGGACGTGTTTCCTTTCGTAAACAAAAGAAACGGAAGTGCGGTAAAGTTGTACCGTTCCGAAAAGGTACTTTTTTTACAAATTCTAAACTAGAAATTTGGCAAATTTTATGTTTCGTGTATTTGTGGGTGGAAAAGGCACCACTGACGCTAATTGCAAAAATTACAAAAATGTCCTTGACGACTGCAGTTAGTTGGGCATCGTTTTGTAGAGAAGTTCTATTGGATAAGTATTTGCTGCACCCCGAAAAGTTAGGTGGTCCGGGCTCTATCGTTGAAATCGATGAGAGTAAATTTGGTAGAAGAAAATATCACCGAGGACGCCAAGTTGAAGGACAGTGGGTTTTCGGCGCATATGAACACGGGACAGGACGGGTGTTTATGGAAATCGTGGAGGAAAGGACTGCGGATACCCTGGTACCGATAATTCAAAAATATATTCTGCCTGGTACTACCATTGTTTCGGATTATTGGAAAGCCCACGATTGTTTAGAAAGGAACGGATATGTAGATTTAAGGGTTAACCATTCGATTACTTTTAAGGATCCCGAATCTACGTCGCGTCTTGCGAAGAATCAACTCCCAGGAAACTTTGCACGACATATTTTCCACAAAACTTGTATAGGAAAGGGTGTTGAAAAGGCGGAGGAATTTTATCGTATTGCTGCAATGGTGTACGATCCCACCAAGCCAGCGCAGCAACGGGATCCAGAAGAAATCGTGGATGAGTATCCATCGGATAGCGCTGATGATTAAAATAATTAAAATTTACCAATTTATAATAAGTCTTTTGATAAAGTCTGTTATTTTCGTTTCTAATATACTGTAATGTTTAAGAGTGTGCCCATAAAATTTAAATTAGTTTTAATAGTTAAAAAGTAGTAATGATAATAATAAATAACACTGTATATTAATTTAATGAAAATAAGTTAGATTTAGACAAGAATTTTGTATAAAGAAATATTAATTTAATTCGAAACAATTAAAAATTGAAAAAAACATTCTATCTTTCTATTGATGGTGGGAAAATGGATTATTAAAAAAGTCATAGAAACAAAGCAACACCATCAATTTCTTGAATTCATTCTTCTCTTCCCCTTTCTTTTATTTATTTTTTTTCTTTCTTCTTAATTTGTTATTTCTTCTGTTATAATTCTTCCTTTAATTAATTTTGTAAATTAATAAATAAGATAATAAAAACTTGAACCGCGGGGGAGCTGGACCCTCACCGGGCGCGTCTCCAGGTGGCGGATAGGGGAACGCTCGCTTCGGCGAGTATCGGGTTAACCCGACGCGGACCAACCAGCCGGACTTCTATAGTCTGTTTTTTTGCAAGGACCGGCACGGCACCGGCTTGTTACGTCTCTTGTTCTTCATCTTCTTTTTCGTTTTTATGTGATTGGCACGTATTTTGGAAACCCTGGGAGTGCTGACGAAGCCTCAGGTGTCTCGGCCGGAGGTGGAGGGAGGCTGATGTGAGCTTGCTCTGCCGAGGAGGGACTGGGTACGTGTCAGAGGCCAGCCACATCGGGCCCTGATCAGGTAGTGTAGAATGGATGCGGAGGTCGGAATCCGCATTGCCCCGGATGAGTATCGATTCGTCCGTGTTTATCCGGAATCGATAAAATGAGGGTTGGGCCCCGGGGAACTGGGGTAGGTTTCTTTAACCGAGGGTATACCCGTTCCCAACCATTCTCAGCACGAAGCGCTGGTGAACCCAACAGAATGGAAAACTCAACAAGAAAAACCATTCAAGAGGCGCCCGCCTCTAAAAAACGGACAACTTGACGAACTCGGAAAAGGAGGTCACTCCCCGGTTCCTTGTCGTCAAGGCTTTGAACGGTTTGTCGTTCGACAAACTTAGCCCGTTCATGTTACAGAAGCAACTATACGGATTGTTTGGAGAATTTAAGTCAATTAAGAAAACCAGGGAAGGCTTGTTGGTTGAAACCGCGTCTGCGGTACAAGGTAAACGAGTTCTAGTCAGTAAGCGAATAGGAAACATAGATGTCGAAGTTAACCCGCATAGAGCCTTAAATACCTCGAAAGGCATTGTGTACTGTCCCGACTTGTTGAACTGCTCCTTGGAAGAAATCCAGGCGGAATTGAAGCTCCAAGGGGTAATTGACGTGAGGAGGATCAAGTCCAAGAGAGAGGACTTGAGCGACACCCCCAATCACATACTCACGTTCAACAGCCCTATTTTGCCGAAAAAAGTGAAAGCGGCGTATTACTCATTGGATGTTAGGCTTTACATACCTGCTCCAATGAGATGTTTTAAATGTCAGCGTTACGGCCACACATCTCTCCGATGTGAGGCCGAACAAATATGTGTGTGTGGGAAGGCTATCCGCGAGGGGCGACCTTGCGAGGACCCCCTCGTTCGCGTTAATTGCGGCGGACCACATTCGGCTCGATCCAGATCCTGTCCCATCTTCAAAAAAGAAGCGGCGATTCAGGAAATGAAGACGAAGGATAAATTATCCTATACTGAGGCAAAGTGACGGCTACAACAAACGACGGTACGCACACCCACTCAGGGAGTGTCGTATTCGTCTGCAACCGCTTCCCTGCCCAAGTACGATAGCCTGATCAAAGATTTAATACCGGCTATTGTAGCGGCCATCAAGCCGCTAATTAAATCGGAAGTAAAGGCGAAGGTTCAATCCTCGACCAGCACTTCCGGAAATATAGGCGTATTTAAAATTCCCCTGCCGATAGATCTCACCGACAACGTAGAAACCTCAAGTCAGTTCTCCCATACGGAGTCTGACAAGAGGAAACGTGAAGGAGCGTTAAGTTCCTCGACTGACGACTTGTCGGAAAACTCTACCGACAATACTCGCAAAAAGAAGAAGGGGTGGTAGAAGGGAAGGCCTCGTAACGTTACGACGCGATCGAAAATTACGCGCTCCAAGACGAGGTCGACCTGCGGTTTTACCAGTATGAATATCATCCCAACTAGTGACTAATCTTACGTCAACGTTTTTCATCGTCTTGCCAAATACTGAATTATTCATTAATTTAATAAAATCTTTTTCAGACCATACGCTAGCCGAAGCCACAGAGGTGCCACAAGTGAAATCGTCAACAGTCATTATAAAGAAAGTAGCAAGCAACTGTATTGCAGTGCCTCTTCCACGATCTCAGCGTCTAACATATTTCTAAGCCATTAGAAATAAAACTTCATTACCAAGGAAGGCAACAGGTATTTGCATAAGTAGCTCAAGTATTGTTACCAACAAAGAAAATACGAAAACCGAGATTGTTTGTAACCTAAGCGTCATAATTGAAGTCGTTAACGCTCATTATGTCCAGAAGACAGCAAGTAACAGTCTCCATTGTGGAGCATCGGCCGCAAGTGACCTTGACATCTAACTTATTTCTAAACCATTAGAAATAAAACTTTGTACCCTTGAATATGAAATAGGTATTTGCATAAGTAGCTCACAAAGTATTATTAGCAAGTAAGAAATGAAACCTGAGGCCGCTTAGGGCTGAGGCGCGATAATTGAAGTTGTTGATCCAAAAAACAGGAAGTAACAGGGTGTTTCAATGATATTGTGTATCGTAGTTGTAGGTTGTTTGAAATAAAACTTGGTAACTTTTGAATGCAATAATTGTATACTAAGTGGCTAGGGTGGCCGACGCCAAAGTATTAAGTTTGCTAGGTATTATTGTCAGCGAGGAAGAGGTTAAAGTCGTAGTGTAAGTCGTCAAGTAATCGTCTCAATTACTATGCATTGGCCGCAAGCGCCCTCGACATTTATTATCTCAATAAACCATTAGAATTTCTTCTTCCTACAATTCTACAAATGCAATGAGAAATTATAGTATTCTTAGTTCAAACAATCCAATAAATAAAAAAATAGTACTTTGGCGTAAATAGGAACGATTAGTTAGTGATTTCCATAAATATATTAATAATTAATTTACACAACAATATCACGTTTACAAGACAATTCGAAAGCGACAATAAATTAAGCTTCTTGGATTTTACAATGTTCTTTTTCTTCCTTCTGTATAGGGTGTCGCAGCGAAACCGGTCATTAGACGTTTCTGGGGTTCTGGCCAAAATAGAAATTTGGGAATTCAGATTCAAGTATAATCAATTGCGTTCTCTTCGAGTAAAATATTTTCAGACTTCTAGCACTTCCGGTATAACCTGACGTGCTATAAATACAATATAAATAAACTTAACTGTGAGGAAACTTCCAAAAACTTTAATTTTCAAAGAGTAAAGTGCCCTTTAGAGAGTTGTTCTAATGAAAATAATAGCTGTTCCAGATTGCGTTAGCTATAATAAGTATATATTTGTAATATGGAATTGATAATAGAAATACTATGGTCACAGCAATCAACTAGACATTTCGGCAGTTTTTGAGAAAAAAAATTAATCCAAAATTTTCCGCCATTTTTGGAGGGGTGTAGCTCCTTATTGGAGCCGAAGTCGCCCATGGTTCATATATCAAAGTACCCATAAAATTGTCTAAAGAATCACCCCCTCAAGTTTGGGCACGTCATTCAGATACACCCTGTATGTATAAATATACAGAGTCCTCTAAAAAGTCAGCACAGTACATTTTTGAAAATTTGTTTACATGAGATGTTCATCCTAATCTTTCGTTATCACCATCTCCATCCATATATATTTTATGTATTTGCTTTTACACACAGCACCACCAAGCGATAATATCGAAAAACGTTTCAAACAAAAATTATTGCTAATTTAATTCACAACAAATGTTATTCGAAAAAGTTTTTGATACAACCAATAATTATTAAGATAACTACAAAAATGTCATTTTCTTAATCAGCGTACAGGGCCACCTTGTGGAATTATAAAAAATATTTATTAAGAATATCGATTTAAAATTAAATTCTAAACAACATTTATTTGAAAGATTTTTTGATGTAATCAACACATCGTCCTCTATAAAAATATAAAGTCAAAAAATATACAGGATGATTTCTATTTTTTTTTTAATTTTTAATTTTCTTTGTGTAACGTTAAGCGAAGTTGTTATTGAAGAAATTTTGAACCAGTTTTGATTAAAATATTAACAGTAACAGAAAAATATTCATTTTATATCTATAAACAGCCAACATTTTATGTATTTGCTTTTATACCAGTACACAGCGCCACCAAGCGATAACATCGAAAAATGTTTCAAACAAAAATTATTGCTAATTTAATTCTAAACAAATATTATTCGAAAAAGTTTTTGATACAACCCATAATTATTGAGATAACATCGTAGGCTCTGAAGTATTTGATTTGTTAGTTGAGTCTGCTGTGTCGTCACTTTCAGAATCTGTTGATGATAAATCGGATATCCACGTAATTGCCGCCTTAAGAATTGCTTATATGTCAACTTCAATGTTGTGTACGTTTTAAATGCATTAAAAAGCGCACAATTGATTAAAAACATTACTACTCGTTTGGTCCACTTCTTCGTTTTTCTAAAAATAGAGTAATAAGACAGATATTGATCTGCGCGATCTACACCCTTCATACACTTGTTGTAATCAATTATTGACTCAGGCTTTTGAATTGATATATGTGATCTTCTATTTACACTTCCGGATTCCATTATGCGCGCCGAATATATCGTCGATATCATGTTTACATTTCGTTTACCGTTATTCCATATTTGTAACAGAATATCGTGTTTTCTACGAAATGTAGTTTGACCATTTGAAAGGGTTAGTTTTTGGAGACATTGAGGAAAACCTCTCGATACCCGTACTTTAATTTGCAAGAGAAGTTATGGCTGAACTTCTATGGACACTGTTGTAATAATTGTCTTGATAAAGGTGATGCCAAATATTTTTATAAGGATCAATAACTTGTAGAATAGTGTTTTCTAATTTCATTACTTGG